AGTTGGGGTCTTGCTATGTTGTACAGGCCAGTCTTGAACTCCTGGCATCAAAAGATCCTCCCAGCTTGGCTTCTCAAAATGTTAGGATTACAGGCGTGAGCTACTACACCTGGCCAAAGTCTGGATTTCTGAAAATTAGCTAATATTTGCTTCTTAAGGCCGGGTGTGGCGCTCATGCCTGTCTGTAATCCTAGCACTCTGGGAAGCCAAGGTGGGTGGTTTGCTTGAGCTCACAGGTTGGAGATCAGCCTGAGCAAAAAAGCAAGACCCTATGTCTACTAAAAATAGAAAAAAATGAAGCAAGAGGATCGCTTGAGCCCAAGAGTTGGAGGTTGCTGTGAACTATGACACCATGGCACTCTACCCAGAGCAATAGGTTGAGACTCTGTCTCAAAAAAAAAAAAAAATTGCTTTGTAAAATTTTACTCTCTTTTATCCTTGGATGAGTATGATTTTATAGAAAGCCTCTGTTTTTCTGGATTGTTATGGGGGTTGTCTATCGTTTGAATTGACAAGGGGTCATTTCATGAAGATTTAGTTACTACCAACATTCACCTGCAGATACATTACATGTGAGGAAGACAGAACATTTTCACAGTGTCAGTGTATTGACTCGTTCTTTGATTCATACAGAGTTATTGAACATGTGTTCAATGAGCTCTTCCAAACTGCTGCCGCACGAGGCTATGGCAGGTTCTAGAGACGGAGAGGAAGCTAAGGCCTGGCTCTCAAGCTACACAGTCTGGCACAGACCTACAGGTACACAGGCCCTTGGGTAGGGTACAGTGTGTGCCTAGTGCATGAGGTAATGTCAATAATAGTGTGTCCAGAGGGCAATGGGTTCAGAAGGGACATGACTAATTGTCCTAGAGATTGCCCGATTCCTAGAATGGCATGCCTCTTTCATCAGCAATAAATGAGAACACAGGAGTATTTTTAATATCTGGAAGTAAAATAGATGCTGCTTTGCCAAGAGCATAAACATTCTTCTGGCAGACAATGTTAAGGTAATCATAGATATATTGTTTTTTAGACAGAGCCATTAGATGGAAATGTTGGTGATATATATTCGGAGGGAGATTGACAGATGGCTTGGGGACCCAATAAAGTGCTGGAGGATGCTTGTCAGCTCTGTTGGAGCCTGAGACACATGGGAAGTCTCTTTCCTCTCCTTGGTGGCACAGGAGGGCCATCCACCTCTCATTCTGTCAGTCAGTTGTGCCATGAGCACGGATTGAGCATAGCAGCTGCAAACAGTATATATGTGCTTAAACAGATTGCATAGTTTTTTCCAGCAATTGAAAGAGAAAATACTTTCTTGTTTTCAAGGGTATCTCTTTTCCATTTATCTTATTTCCTCTAATTTTACTCATGTATTCTTTCACTGGTTCTATCACCCAGACAGGTACAGAACACAGCCTGAGCTTGGGAGTCAGGGGTGGGAACGAGAGATAGAAGGAATAGATCTGGGGAGGAAAGCACCAAAGCACAGTGGGGAAGTTTGAATGGTCCTAAATCTACTTCGTGGGTTCTCATTCTCCCTCATCTTTGATTGGCATTTAGCCTTCCTTTGGGAGCTTTTCTGAGCTTTCGTGAAATATAACCTCATGGCTCACTCTCCACTGACTTTTTAAAAAATTTATTTTTAATTGACAAGTTACAGCTTATCTATGTGTATAGTGTAGAACGTGATGTTTGGCCCACCTGTTTCTCTGCTCTGTCTCTGCATGTACCATGGGCTCCTG